TTTTCTCTGATACAAGGAGACTGATTCATAGAGGAGTAGGGAGGAGGAGCGTGGGAGGAATAGATGAACTCTAGACAGGGCAGAGGTGGGAAGCAAGGGAGGGGGAATAGGGAATGTGATGGGCATTATTATCCAAAGTACATGTATAGAGGCACAAATTGGTGTGAATATACTTTCTTATACAACCAGAGATATGAAAAATTGTGCTGTATATGTGTACTATGAATTGTAATGCATTCCACTCTCATATATAAATAAAAAATAATTTAAAAATAAATAAAAATAAAAACAAATAAAATAAAGGTATTGTGTCCATCACAACTAAAAAAATTTAACAAGCTCAAATAGATATAATGGTTATGCAGTTTCCAGATATTTTATTTATCATATAAAAGCTTCAAAAAATTAGTTAAAATGTGCTCAAATAACATGCTTAAGGAATAAAAGTAAGATAGTGACTCATGAAAATTCCTATAAAGATGTAGGTATTCTAAAATATAGCCATATGAAAATTTGGGAGTTGAAATAGAAAATAACTGCTTCATAAATTGATTAAAGTTCACAGCTGTACATTTGATTTGGCTGAAAAAAGAATTGATGTATGTGAACATAGAATAATTCAGGTTATGAAACAGGAAGAATGGGAAAAAGAATGAAAGAAAAATGAAAAGAGCAGATAAAACAGACACAGGGATCATCGTGGAAGAGACTGAGAGTTGAATGCTTTCCATAAAGTTCAGGGTACAGGAATGTCAACTCTCATAACTTCTGTTTGAAAATGAATGCCCCCATGATCTGCTTCTTCCAGCCGAACCCTATCTGCTTAAGTTACCACCCAGTAGCCACTATTAATCCATCAAATTATTTAACTCACTGATTAGTTTTGAGCACTCATAAGCTAATCATAACCCCTCTGAACACTCCTGCATTGCCTAACAAATGGATTTRTCTTCCACCTAAACCATAACACCTTACTGCATTATTTTACTTGGGATGCTTTTCATGATCTCTGTCAGTCAAGACTTAGTACTAAACAAACCAAAAATTTCCTCTCTCCATCTCTCCTAGAAAAATCAAACACTTCAATGGAGTATTGCAAACCACATATTCACTAAAAAATCACATTGCATGTGGAAGAGTTACTCCAGTTTGTTTGCAGAGTATTCGCAGATCAATATTAACTGCAGTTCATTGCCCACAACAAGAATTTTCACAAAGTAGATCATTAACAGATTTAACTAGGAAGCACCTCAGCAAAACCTCTCTCTCAGAGATTTAAAGAAAACAGCCACCCAAATAACCTGAGGATGACTAGGGGATATTAGCTTTGTGGACTTGCCACAGAGGTGAAGAGGGGATGATGACATTGGTCAGGGTCAACAGCCTTTGCTGTGTCACAGTGAGAGAGGATAAAACACATTGTTCTTTGAACTCTTCTAGATACAACCACTTTGCCTTCAGTTGGTGAGGGTCATTCAGCCACCATGGCCTTTCAGGACCTCCTGGATCAAGTTGGTAGTCTGGGGAGGTTCCAGATAATTCAGATGGCTTTTCTTCTTACCTACAATGCCATGGCACAGACTCATATTTTATTGGAGAATTTCACTGCAGTCATCCTTGGTCATCGCTGCTGGGTCCATATACTCGATAATGCCACTGTCTCTGACAATGACACTGGGACCCTCAGCCAAGAAGCCCTCCTGAGGATCTCCATCCCACTAGACTCAAGCCTGAGGCCAGACAAATGTCATCGCTTCATCCACCCTCAATGGCAGCTCCTTCATCTGAATGGAACCTTCTCAAACATGAGTGAGGTGGACACGGAGCCCTGCATGGATGGCTGGGTATATGACCGGAGCTTGTTCCTCTCCACCACCGTGACTGAGGTAAAAGGCTTGATTTTCCACTCATAAAAGTAATTGACCTGGGTGTGTGKAAACAATGAAAATAATGAATATGCTTTGAGCCTTTAATTGCTGTGTGGGTGTTGGTTCTTCTTTTCTTTTTTCAGAAACTACTGTTTTTTTTTATACAATTCAGGGCACATACTTAGTGTAATGATAAAAAACAAATAGGAGCCTATTGTCATGGCACTTTGAAGCAAGTAAGTCATGTGTCTTGTTAAAATTGTGATATTTAGCCAGTAACACACTGTCTTGATTGCCAATTGGATATGGAGGTGGGTTGATCAAAACCTGCATACCCAGACTGAACTCCTATCATATGAGAAGATTTGCAGTAAAATTTTCAGAGTCCTTGAATGATGGTGGACTGTGGCCAAATTAGAGGACTTCTTAGTTAAAAGTGATCATTAATGTAACCCACAGGTGTAAGGTAGTCTTCCTAGATAAACATTTATTAAACTGAGGAATGGATGGTAGAATTCAAGTGTTTTTGAAAAGGGAAGCTGTTGAAGAAGACAGGGACCTATTATTAAGAAAACTGCAGGTCTGTGAAGGTGTTTTTTTATGCTGGTTTTCTTGTCTTCCAGTGGGACCTGGTATGTGAATCGCAGTCACTGAATTCAGTGTCTAAGTTCTTCTTCATGGCTGGAATGTTGGTTGGAAACATTGTATATGGCTATTTGTCAGACAGGTGAGTGTCTCTGGTTCACAGATCTCTCTAACCCTGGGTACAATCATCAGCTTATGAATCATTTATGCATATGAAAAATTATTACAAATTACACTCTCCTGGGTGTACCTTTGTTCCCAGGGATCTACAAACACAAATGTAAAATGTCACTCAGTGCGGTGAGTGCTGTTTTAAACAGACTGAATCCTGTGTTTAGGAAATCAGTATAAGATTTGGAGGTGCTTTACCAGAGAATCTGGAGAGAACATGCCACAACATGCGGTTTGAAAGATCACAAACAGTTAACAATGGGGACACAGAGGTGGATATGTTACCACATTGGATCCAACCTACTTGAATATGCAGGTAGGAAAAAGACATTGTCAGTGTCACTCAGGGGCATCATGAAAATAAAATCTCAGTAGGTAAACTCAAAGGACTTCACTATGCTACATTATCCTAAAAATGTTTAAGAGTAAAAGAGTGAAGTCCCAATGAAGCAAGAAAAATGCTTTTTCACATAAAATGGATCTTCAATGGAATATTGGGTGATTTTTCTTCAGAATACATGGAAGCATCCCAACCTTTKCTTCTCAATAAGGGTCATTATAGTATGTCGCCTATGCATCTATAAATTCATGTTTTACAAAATGAGACAGTTGGGTTTATGGATCTTAATTTTCATGTAACTTAAATGTGTTGTTTCCTTTTCTTCTTTTGTGTACGTACTATTCTGTTTTTGGGATGCATACATGTTCCTATTTGTACTTTTAGTTCACATTTCTAATTGCTACATAGTGGTCCACAGTGGAGATCCATAACAGTGTTCCTGAGCCACCTTTGGGAAATGGGCAACCAGATTACCACCCAATGCTTGCCCTCCCAAACCTAAGAAAAGGTCAACTTTATATGTTCTTTTGCTGTGATAAATACATGTTATATTTTTACAAATATGTTTTGTTTACCAAGGTCAACAAATCCAAACTCAGCAGATAGGGACTCTTACCCAACCCATCAGCAACGTTGATGTACTGCTTCATAGCTGTTCCTATTACATCATGTTAGCCATACCTGTGCAGTTCTAGAGTCTCAAGCGCTGATTTTAATATTTTATACACAATGTTGCCTCTCCACTATCATAAGTGTATGGCTCAGTACAAGAAATATTTATGAGGTATTAATATTTCTAACACTGCAGCATGTCTTGTATAGCTTGAATTGGTGTTGAACTACTGGTAACAATTTAAGAAGTAGTTTTGAGGACAAGCTATCTATKTTAAAAGAAGAAGAGTTGATTTAAGAAGATCAGATGTTGGTCCTTTATGAATATTTCATAGGGGTGAAGTGTTTTCTTTGTGCCAACTTTTACCACAGTTGTTATTGTTCCCACAATCTCATCTTTCCCTTTTCCATAGGTTTGGGAGGAGGTTACTTCTGACATGGTGTCTTCTTCAGCTGGCCGTTGCTGACACCTGTGCTGCCTTTGCTCCCACATTTCTGGTTTACTGCTCACTACGCTTCCTGGCTGGCATGTCCACCATGACCATTGTGACAAATGCTATTCTTCTCAGTAAGTCAGCACTGACTCTTGGACATTTACTGAGAYTTGACTTTTACYTTGATATTCTACCTTTGCTTGAAGTAATTATTCAGTKATGTTTTCTTTCAGTTGTAGAATGGACAAGTCCCAAATACCAAGCTATGGGAACAACAATGGCAATGTGTGCTACTAGTTTTGGGAATATCCTACTGGGAAGCCTGGCTTTTGCTATTCGAAACTGGCATACTCTTCAGCTGGTTCTGTCTATACCGATGTTCTTCTTTTTTATTTCCTCAAGGTATGAGCTCCCTTTTGTCTTTCTCTTCTAAAACCATGGTATGGTAATGTACATGGCATCAGGACATAAAAATTTATTTCTTCTTGGTTCTACATGAGGATGTGCTCTCAGAACAAGTGTCTTGGTACAATTTGAGAAGCAGGGYGAGTAGGATGGTCAGATGAAATTGAGGACATTGAAAATCTTTCAATTCATTGTAACTAGTAAATATTTTTTTGTAAAATATTATCCCAAGCTTTGCAAGTGATATACTGAAAATTATTTACTGTTTATGTGAAT